TGTGGGTCGCTGGCAAAGCATGGCCGCTGACAAGCAGTGTAGGTCCATGCCTGGGAAGCAAACCTGGACCGCTGAAGCAGAGCGTGCTGAACTTAAGCAAATGGCCACGGGGCTGGCCCCTGTAATTTTCTTTTAATGTCTTTTCCTGGTTTTGGTAACAGTGTAATGTTCACCTTATAAAATGAATTGGAAAGTGCTAGCCAGTCCTCTAATAAGAGTTAGTGTAGTATTCTCATTAACTCTTAAATGTTTGATAGAATTTACCTTGAAGTCTTCTGGGCCTGGAAAAATCTTTGTGGGAACTTGTAAAATTGCAAATTCAGTATCTTTAATAGTTTAGAGTTTTCATATTTTTTTCTTTTGGTAACATTTTTTTAAGTGAAAATATTTGTCCATTTCATCTACATTATATAATTTATTGCCTTCAATTTATTTATAATCTTCCCTTGTTATCTGTTTAATATCTGTAGGATCTCAGGGTGGCCATATATGACATCCTTCTTAATTTCTTAATCCATCTTACTAGAGGTTTTTAAATTTTTTTGATACTTTCAAGATTTGGCTTCAGGTTTTCATTGATTTTTTTCCTCTTATTCAATTTCTATTTCACTGATTTTTGCTTTTAACTTTATTTCCTTCTGCTTGCTTTGGGTTTAATTTACTCTTTTTTTAAAGCTTCTTAGGATAAAAGTTTAAATTATTGACATTAGATCTTTCTTGTTTTCTAAAATAAGCATTTAAACCTACAAGTTTCTATCTTAGCCTGCTTTAATTGCATCTTCAGGTTTTGATGTTTTTATTTAGTTCAAAATATTTCATGAAAATTTTCTTTTCAATTATTCTTTGACCCAAAATTGGTTACTTGGAAAAGTATCATTTAATGTCCAAACATTTGGGGCTTGTCTAGATATGTTATTTTTGTTGATATCTAATTTAGTTCGGTTGTGGTCAGAGAACATATTTTGTATGATTTCTCCTTAATCCATCGACATTTGTTTATGTTCTGTCTTGGTGTGTAGTCCATTTGCTCTTGAAAAAAGTATGTGTTGTGAAATTATTGAAAATGGTAGTCTATAAATATCAAATGAGTTAGGTGGTTGTCAGTATTCTTTAGAGTTTCTAAATATTTACAGATTTCCCCCCGCTTTGCTCTAGTTCTTTTAGTTACTGACAAACATTAACATCAACTATGATTTTGAACTTTTAAAAATCTCATTTAACTTTTGTCAATTTTTGCTTCATGTATTTTGAAACTCTATTAAGTACATATACACGTGTAATTGTGATATTTTCCTGATGTATTTACTCTTTTATTGTTATGAAATGTCCCTTTCTTGTCTGTAGTAGTAATACTCATCAACTTGAAATCAATTTTATCTACTTTTACTATACCCACATCAGCTTTCCCTTATTTAGTATTTGTATGTCTTTTTCCATCCTTTCACTTTCAGCCTATTTGTGTCTATGGTATTTAAAATATGTCTCCTGTAGACAGAATATATTTGAGTCTTGCTTTTTTATACGTTCTAATAACCTTGACCTTTTTATTGGTGTGTTTAGTCCATTTACATTAATACAATGAAAGGTATAGTTGGATTTAGGGCTACCATTTTGCTATGTGTTTTCTGATTGCCTAACCTATGGTGGGTTTTTTTATCCTTTTAATTATACTTTATATTTTAGGGCAGTTTTAGGGTCACAGCAAAATTGAGTAGAAAGTACAGAGAGTTTCCTTTTACCCCCTACCCCTACACATGCATAGCTTCCCCCACTATCAACATCTTGCACCAGAGTGGTATGTGTCTTAAAATCAGTGAAGCTACATTGACACATCATTATCACCCAAAGTCCATAGTTTACATTGCATGTATAGTCTATGGATTTTGTCAAATATATAATGACATGTATCCACCATTATAGTATTATACAGAATAGTTTCACTGTCCTAAAAATCCTCTCTGCTCCACCTATTCATCCCTCCTTCTCCCCTAATCTCTGGCAGTGGCAACCACTGATCTTTTTACTGTTTCCATAGTTTTGCCTTTTACAGCATGTCATATAGTTGAAATCATACAATATGTAGCCTTTTCAGATTGACTTCTTAATACTTAGCAATATGCATTTAAGGTTCCTCCTAACCTGTCTTTGTTAATCTGTTCCTACATCTTGTATGTTATGTCAATCAGATATATTTTAATAATTCATTTTTATTCCTCTGTTGACTTTTTAGTTCTATCTGTTTGCATTTTTTGTGGTCGCTTTAGGGATTGCAATATGCACCTTTAACTTATCATGATTTACTTAGAGATGATCCTGCATTACTTAAGGTAAAATACATCATTCTTGAAACATTATAGTTCTACTTACTGACTTTTCCATCTTTTGTTTTTTTGTTGGCCGTGTATGTGATATTTATGCTTGTAATAAATGGTGTTAGAATGCTTATTTTAAGCCAAGAGTCGACAGCTTATAGGCCAAATCCAACCTGCTGCCTGCTTTTGTACAGATTGTGAGTCAGAAATGGTTTTTATAGTTTAAATGTTTGAAAAGATGCAAAAGCAGAATACTTCTGACCTATTAAAAGTTTTAGGAGGGCCGGCCCCGTGGCGTAGTGGTTAAGTGCACATGCTCTGCTGCTTGCAGCCCGGGTTCAGATCCCGGGTGCACACCAACCCACTGCTGTCAGGCCATGCCGTGGCGGCGTCCCATATAAAGTGAAGGAAGATAGGCACAGATGTTAGCCCAGGGCCGGTCTTCCTCAGCAAAAAGAGGAGGATTGGCATGGATGTTAGCTCAGGGCTGACCTTCCTCACAAAAAAAAAAAAAAAAAAAAATCAAATTTCAGTGTCCATACATGAAGTTTTATAGGAACACAACTTTTCTTGTTCATTTTACATACTATCTGTGGTTGCTTTTGTGCTAAAACAATGGAATATGTTCACCAACACCTGCTTGAAACAGTCATGTCTTTTGAAGGAGGGAAATTAGTATTTATAGTCTTTTATATATAACTTTTCTCATCATCTTCATTCCTTCCTAAAGACCTTAGTTATCATCTGATGTCATTTTTACCTTCAGCCTGAAGAAATTCCTTTACCATTTTTGATGGTACAGTCTTGCTAGTATTGAATTCTCTCCAGTTTTATCTGAAAATAGCTTTATGTTGCCTTTACTTGTAACAGATAATTTTGCTGAATATAGAATTCTCAGTTGATGTTATCTTTGGCTTTCAGCAGTTTGATTAGGATTTTCTCAGTATGGTTTTCTTTGTTTTTTATCCTTTTGGGGTTCATTAAGCTTTTTCAATATGTAAGTTAAAGTTTTTGCTAACTGCAAATGTGTTGGGCCATTATTTCCTTAAAGCTTTTTCAGACCCTTTCTTTTTCATTCTTTCTGGGACTCCAGTTACATCTGTATTGGATTACTTTGAAATTGACCCACAGATCTGTGTGATTGTGTTCATTTGTCCTTATTCTTTTTTCTTTATATTTAGATTACTTAATTTCTGTTGATCTGTTTACAAGGTTACTGATTCTTCCTTTTTCTATATCTGATCTGCTATTGAGCCCATATAGTGAATTTTTCATTTCAGTTATTGTATTTTTCAGCTCTAGAATTTTCGTTTGGTGCTTTTTTTGTAGTTTACATTTTGAGATTCTGTGCCAGGTTTTCTATTACTTCTTTGAACACATTTAGAACAACTGCTTTGAAGCCTTTTTTGGCAAAATCCAACATCAGGACCCACTAGGAATTAGTTTCTATGACTGTCATTTTCTGAATATGGGTCATATTCGCCATCCTTTTTTGTTTTGTTTTGTTTGCGTGTCTAGCAATTTTTGCTAGAAACCTGGACATGATGAATTATATGTTATAGTAATCTGAATTCTGTTATGTCTGTTTTTCAGAGGATTATTGGGTTTTTTTTCTAGCTGGCAATTAACTTGCTTGGAATCAAACTTCAAACTCTGCCCTCTGTCCTCCTCGCTTCCCAAGTGTGAAGCAGTTGATATATTCCCTTGGTTCTTTAAGCTTCCAGCTGCTGCTTTTCACCCTGGCCCCTGAGGGGAGCTGGATTCTCCTTGTGTTGAAGTACTTTAGCTCTCAGTCAAGGAATTGGTGTTTATACTTTGATTTTCAGGCTAATTTTCTTCAGTTCTCTTTCTTCCAGGATTTCACTCCTTATACTTCCTGCTGCTTTGTCAGCCCCAACTTCTAATACCTCAATCCAATAAGGCTTCAATTTTCTTCTGCTTGGGCTGTGAGCAGGTTGTGGAATGTTGTTAATCAAAAATGCAGAAATCTCAGAGTCTCACTAGGTGCACTTCTGCTTTTCAAGACTCTTTTCTGGTATCTTCCTGTCTGCTTTTTGCTAAGCTCTCTGTGATCTCACCAGTAATTGCTTAGTTTAACTATCAACCTGGAGTTCTGGCAGAGTTTATACTCAGATTTGGGGTCTCATCCTTCACTCTATTTTTGCTGGATGCTGAAAGTCTCTCCCAGGCATTTTAAAACTATATTCTTCCTGTATAACACTTTAGTCTTGAAGGGGAAACAATTTACCTCCTCATTGAAGCCTGAGAAATTGTTCTGCCCTGTGACACACTGCATCTTGTACATTCTTCTGTTCTACCTGTAACACCTTCTTGCAGGTTTGTGTTTACACGTACTTTCTTGAAGGTAGGTGTTAACATGCTTTGAGGCTGTAGCTGCTTGTGAGCAGGGACAGTGTTTTGTATCTCTTGGCACCCCAGTAAACTAATACAGTTTTAGGGTACAAAGTGACATCACAGTAAATACTTTTAGAATATGAATTATTAAATAAATTCTGTGTTAGGTACTTCTACCTTGATTTTTGTTTTCCTTGCAATGTAAAGCACAAAACAAGAAAAATGATAGGCTTTCTTTACAAGTTTTCATATGAATGCCACAAAGGAACAGGATTAAAACTCGTCTCCAATATCTAATCTACTTGTTCTGATCACAATTCCAATCCATTTCAGGGATCCGTGTCATTCAAAGATGTGACTGTAGACTTCACTCCAGAGGAGTGGCAGCACCTGGATCCTGCTCAGAAGACTCTATACATGGACGTGATGTTGGAAAACTATTGCCACCTCGTTTCTGTGGGTAAGAAAAACTCTCATGGAAACTTGAGTAGCATACATTTCCTTTCAAAGTGCGTAAAGTATGTGTGCTCTTGAATTTCAGGGATAAGAGGTGATGAATTCTTTTTGGTTAACAGAAAGGATGATTGTGTCTTCACTTGCTTGGGGCAAGGTGTTAAGTTTACTGTTACACAAAGGAGTATCTTAAATTGTATTACTCAAAATGCATCTTACTAATTTTTCGGATGTACTGAAGCCTAAGCAACTTAATCCAAATCTTCCCTTATCAGGGTGTCACATGACCAAGCCTGATGTGATCCTCAAGTTGGAACGAGGAGAAGAGCCATGGACATCATTTACAGGTCATACCTGCTTAGGTGAGTTTCTGACTCTCAGGGACATGAAATCTAGTGAAAAATAAATTTTAAAGTGGTCATGTGGTGAGTGGCACCTTTGAAATATTTTGGGAGTGTTTTTAAAAGGTACTAACCTTTGAAATGACCTTTGTGCCTGCAAAACATAAATCAAACTTTGAAATATTACCCTTCCTGTATAATATTTTTTCCTAAGTTTGCTTGATGTTATCAAAGATAGTTGCCACTCTTAAACTTAATCAAAATATACTATAAGCCTTCCTTCTGTTAGATCTTTTTTCTTGATTTGTGCCTTTTTTCTAGCATTCTCAGTTCCTTATCTCCTTGCTATTGTGATAGATTTCTTTCAGGCATTCCTAAGTCTACGTTTAAAAAAGAGAAAATTCTTGGTTAATGTTTCTCTTCTTAGTTGCTTCCCATTTTCTTTCTTTCTCTTTCTTTTATATTACCTCAGATTTGTTTTCTGTGCTAAGTCTAACTTCCCATTCTCACCACAAATCTAGTTGTTAATTTTAAAACTCACTTGTCTTGACCCAGACTGATAATTCCACAGTTGTTATTTTCTTCCACTAAACTTTTGTGGTTCATTTTATATGGCTGATCATTCCTGAAATCAGCCGTTGGTTTGGGTAAAACACTAACTCATTCTTATCCTGATTACCTGAGTGATTACTGTTTGCAACTTGGTCTATTTTCTTCACCACTGTGGCTATATTGCCTGGAACAAAGCCTGGCACATAATAGCCACACAGATTTTTTTTAGGGAATATTGTTTCACTGTACTCTCAGTCTTTATTTCTCTGATTTGTCCTCAAGGGATCTGCCTTTAAATTATAGTAATCTCATCCATTCTCAGGACTTAAGCTCTTTGTTTTATGTAGATGCCTCTGACATGGGCATACTTAGCACATTCTTCCCGTCTTTTTTGTGACTTATTTTGTGACGATATGTTGGAAATGAAAATTACTAACTTTCCTAGCTCTTAAATTCTTTTCCATTATCTATTTCCAAATTAATTTTTCCTTGCCATGATATCAGCTTGATTCTTCTGTCTCTGTCATCATCTCTTGTGGATCTCTTCACAATCTGTATTATGTTTATCAGCCTGTGAAATATATTTTACATCCTCTCATATTTTCATTTCTCACTGACATCTACAAAATGAGAACTATCTTATTTCATGTCTTGACTACTATAATAACAGTTTGGCTTTTCCATAATTTGTCCTAATTTTTTCACTTTATACTGTGGCTTTCCTGACAGGAAATATCATCATTTGTTCCCTATTATTTATCATATGACATTGAAATTCTTCATTGAAAGACTACCATAATAAGCTCTCATCTGGTCTTTTCAAGTTTATTTCTCTTGTGGAAAACTCTTGCTAATTTCCACTTGATACAGTCTCCTAATGTTCTCCATACATGTAGGATTTGTCGTGATGTCTGTACTTTTCATTGTGTTGTGTTCTGCCTTCCATATACTCTATATCTTTTAAGTTGTCTTAAGGTTTTTTTCTCCATGAACTATTCTTTGACTATTCCACATCATATCCACCTTTCCTTTTTCTGAATTCCTATGTTACTTACTAATTATAGCACACGCAATTCTTGGATATGATTATATAATTTGATACCTGATTGTACATGGTTTATGCTTAAGAATTCTTTCCCTCAAAGACAAGATCCTCTGTTTGAATCTTCTTTGCTGTAGTATATAATATGTTAGATACTCAGTAGTTGCTTCATTAACTGTTTGTGGAGTTATACAGGGGAGATATCTTTTTCCTCCATTCAGAAAGCATGTACTGGTAAGTTCCTTTCAGATGTACCTGCTCAGGCCATGACTCTATAGATTCTGATTTAAATGGTTGGATCTACCAAATACTACCTATTTACTATATACAGTGTTAATGTAGACTCAGAAGAGTTCAAACAATAAAGTATTTCTTTCAGTGAGAAAGGATTACTATCAAAGTCTACATTTTTAATGAAATATTTATGACACAGTCTAAGCTTGTAAAAAGATTTGTTAAAAGGATTTTTCTAGATCATAGTTATTTGCAAGTTATAAAGAAGTAGTGCTTAAAGTGATGGGAAATATGTGAAGGGCTTTTGAGATCATAGAACAGTAGCATTTTCTTGAAGATTCTCTAAATACAAGTAGAAATAAGACCAGAAGGCAAGCCAACTGATTAAAAGAACATGAGCAAAGCTTGTTATTAGGAATAAGTGAAGTATTTATAGGGCAATCAATCAGTCAATAAAACTTGTTACATATGAGGTATGTCAGATATGTGCACAACCCTGAAAACTTGTTTGAATATAAAAAGTGAATATAGGTGATGTAAAGTTTTGTTTACAGTATTCCTCATATGTTAATATTGGAGGCAGTGGACTCAAGGAAGAAATAGATTTTTGAGCCTAGATTTAACATTGTTCCACTAGATGTGGATGATTGCAAAGTAATAGAAGTCAAATATAGCTACACATTTATAAAAGAAATGAAGGTCATGGTTAATGATGATCTAGAACCAGAATGAACAATCTGATCTTTCTGGTCCACCATATGGAAAACTGGAGTTAAGGAATGTTATCATATTTGGGAAAGACTTGAACTAGTTTTTCTTTAAACCTAAAAAAATAAGCCAGCAATTAAAAAGAGGAACAGTTATAATTGATGGTCATGAGAGTTTTGTTATTGAACAATTCTGAAAGAATTGATAGTAACAGCAATCTGAATACACCAGTGAATATACCCCTAGTCTGTTTTAAAGTTCCTGTTGAAAATGTTTTCCTGGTTCTTCCCTCACAAGAGAAAATGATTCCCAGCTATCTGGAGGATTAGAGCCTAGACTATAGGATTGTTTTTCTTAACACTAGGAAATTAATTGATGCTTAGAAAGAGTAATTAGCAATTGATGGCTACAAAGAAGAGGGTGGTGGAGCAACTGGAAGTGTTTCACCTTGCAATTGAGAGGTGAATGTATAAAAGTATACACTCTGATCTGTGTCCTCCAAAAGTAATCATTCCTCTAGTATTTTCCCTGAATAAGCTTTTTTACTAATTTTTCTTGCCTATCCTACTTAAAGCTTAATGCCCTTGATAGGTTCACTTCATTGCCTCTGAATCCACCCATCAAGGCATCAGTCCCTCTTCCACCAGTCTTTGTCTTCTCCTCCCTGCTTCTTGTTTTCATTTCACTTTCTATATGAAATTCTGGGGCAAAGTGCAAAAGTTACTAGCATCCATTGCTTATTTTTTCTTCCTTTTCCACACTGAAGCATAGTTTTTATTTAGGTTCTGTGTCTTTTCCCAGGCTGGGAGTAATTTGTCCTAGGTCTTTCTGGCCTCGTATGCTAGACCCTAGTACAATTCCTTTCCATAGCAAATGTATGAAGATTCACAAATTGTTATTAATTATATTCTTTTCTAGAAGAAAACTGGAAAGCTGAAGACTTTTTAGTGAAATTCAAGGAACATCAAGATAAGTATTCTAGATCAGTTGTATTCATCAACCAGAAAAAACTGATGGAGAACAGTACTGCACACGAAAAGACATTTACTTTAGGCAAAAACCCTGTTAAGTTAAAAAATCTACCTCCTGAATATGACACTCACAGAAAGATTTTTAAAAATGTTTCAGAATTAATCATCAGTAATCTAAGTCCTACAAGAAAGAGACTTAGTGAGTATAATGGATATGGGAAATCACTCCTCAATACTCAGCCAGGGACAGCTCATCCTGGAGTCAAATCCCATAATCAACGTGGCAGGGTTGTCCGTCATAATGAAGTGCTTATGCAATATCATAAGATGGAAACTCCACAGTCATTTGGATATAACGACTGTGAGAAATCCTTCCTTAAAAAAGGAGACTTAATAACACATAATAGAGCTTACAGAAGGGGAAACCCATCTGAATATCATAAAAGGAGAAGAGCAACCAATGTTGAAAAGAAACATACATGCGCTGAATGTGGGAAGTCCTTCTGCAGGAAGTCAGTATTAATTCTACATCAGGGAATTCACACAGAAGAAAAACCCTATCAATGTCATCAATGTGGAAATTCATTTAGAAGGAAGTCATATCTCATCGATCATCAGAGAACTCACACAGGAGAGAAACCCTTTGTTTGTAATGAATGTGGTAAGTCCTTCCGCCTAAAGACAGCCCTCACTGATCATCAGAGAACACATACAGGGGAGAAATCATACGAATGTCCACAATGTAGGAATGCCTTCAGATTGAAGTCACACCTGATTCGTCATCAGAGAACTCATACAGGAGAGAAACCATATGAGTGTAATGACTGTGGGAAGTCCTTCCGCCAGAAGACAACACTCTCTCTACATCAAAGAATTCATACAGGAGAGAAACCCTATATTTGCAAAGAATGTGGCAAGTCCTTTCACCAGAAGGCAAACCTTACTGTACATCAGAGAACTCATACAGGGGAAAAGCCCTATATTTGTAATGAATGTGGGAAATCCTTCTCCCAGAAGACAACCCTTGCGCTTCATGAGAAAACTCATAATGAGGAAAAACCCTACATTTGTAATGAATGTGGGAAGTCCTTCCGCCAGAAGACAACCCTCGTAGCACATCAGAGAACACATACAGGGGAAAAATCCTATGAATGTCCTCACTGTGGGAAGGCCTTTAGAATGAAGTCATACCTCATTGATCACCACAGAACTCACACAGGAGAGAAACCATATGAATGTAATGAATGTGGGAAATCCTTCAGCCAGAAGACAAATCTCAATCTACATCAAAGAATTCATACAGGGGAGAAACCCTATGTTTGTAATGAATGTGGGAAGTCTTTTCGCCAGAAAGCAACCCTCACTGTACATCAGAAAATACATACAGGTCAGAAGTCCTATGAATGTCCTCAGTGTGGGAAAGCCTTTAGCAGGAAGTCATATCTTATTCATCATCAAAGAACTCATACAGGAGAGAAACCATATAAATGTAATGAATGTGGGAAGTGCTTTCGCCAGAAGACAAATCTCATTGTACATCAGAGAACTCACACAGGGGAGAAACCCTATATTTGTAATGACTGTGGTAAGTCCTTCAGTTATAAGAGAAACCTCATTGTCCATCAAAGAACTCACAAGGGAGAAAACATGGAAATGCAATAAACAATGTGATTTCTTTGTGAAGCCTTTCCAAGTTATTATAAACCTTTAGTTTAAAAAAGAAAGCATGCTTAAACATGTTAATAAGGTTACTTTAATCACAAATCTAATAATAGTTATTAATTTAAAGTACTATACCATATAACTATTTCCTGTTTACTAGCATATAAAATGGGTATGATCATTGTTATTGAATGCTATCAGCAATGAAGCTAATTTTTAAGTTTTCAAGTTCTCTTGCTGACTCAGTTTATATTAAAAAAAAAACTTATATAAATACACACAGAGGCAAGATACAAAATGGTTATAAGCATCAGTCTTCATAAGAGAAAATATGAAGTATATTTCTCATTGCAGTCTGTAGAATAAAAAGTAGTTGTTACTTCCCCAAAGATTACCAGTTCTCTGGCTTAAACATCATGAAATAGTTTTTGCATGTCTTTAAGCTTTATATATATTTTATCATACACCATGAATTCTTTTGTGTCTTGTTTCACTCAACATTTTTAAGATTCATACATTATTGCATGTGGCAGTATTCATTTTCATTCTGTATGCTATTCCATTTTAAGAATATACAGCTATTTATCCTCTTGATGGATATTTGTATTTTTTAAAATTTTGTGTTGTAATAAAAATACTGCTATAAATATTCTTGTATATGTCTTTGTGTGTGTGTGTGTATATAATTCTGTTGATTTTATAGAATTGAAGACTGGAAATACTCAGTTCAAGGGTGTATGTAAGTGTTTTCAGCTATGGTAGAACTGCCAAATATCTCTCAGACCTTTCTCAACATGAGATGATTCACTTTGGGGAATAACAGCCCTGATTGTAATCAATGTAGAGAAAGGTCTTTAGGTCATTCAACTGGAGAATTCCTACTAAAAAGAAATCCTTGTAATGTTATAATCCTTCTAATGTGAGAAGGTTGTTAGTCATGAGTATATAAATGTGATAAATGTAGAAAGACCTTTAGCTGTGGCTTAAACCTTACACAAAACCAGAGAATTTATATTGGAGGGAATCCTATAGTTGTCATGATTTATAGGGGTATTTTTAGCCATAGCTTACATCTTATTCAACATCAAAGAATTCATACTAGAGAAAGGGAGGTTAAGAAGGGACATAGGTGAGGAAAATTTGGGAGTATAGGAGTCACACAGTAGACAGAATTATGAAAAATATATATAAGTAAGCCTATATATAATATAATGTCTATATAAAATAAGCTCTTTATACCTTGATTTAATTCACAAGAAATGTGGGTCTCCGAAAATCCCAAATGAAAAATCACTAGAGAGATTTTGATGTTTGAGAATTAGAAATCTGCTAAAACAATAACATCTATACCATCTTTTCTGTGAAAATAGTCAACTCAGCTGCAAGTTGAACAGTGTTAGTGAAGGCCCTTCTTGGGGGGGATAATTCATAACCAGTATTTACAATATACATGAAGTCATCGTGTGTAATAAACAGAAATTTCAACAATCGGGTTTTTTTTTCCCCCCAATTGAGTAAAGCTATAAACCATGTCTAAGTAAGCAGGAAAATGCTTGGTGTTTCATGTGTCTGACAATGTTAAACAAGCCCTCTGGCCTATAGAAAGGGCAGTAATTGCCAGTGGGTAGTAAATGGAAACAGGTTTGTCAGTCCTGGTCTTGCAGATAATTTCAGAGCAAAAAAAGAGCAGTGAGTGATGAGGTAAATCTGACATGATAAAAATTTAGACTTGAAAGAGGCGTAAGGTAAAAGATAATTCCTTGTCTGACTGGTCATAACTTGTGAAATTTAGCCTTAACTAATAATTACATTCATGCTTAAGAGATTTTTCTTCTTTTTTAGAGGCAGGGAGGGTGAACATATTAGAATAAAATAACTACAACTAGGTAAGATTACAAAACCTATATTCAGAACTACGAGAACCTAGGAGTTAATTTTATTTGAATAAATCTGTATTTGTAGATGAGTAAATACTATTATATGCTAACAAAGGTGAGTAACAAGAGTTGTACTCGTGACCAAGGATGCAAGCCTACGTCTTCCTGGGTATGTAGTGAGTGGGGAGGCATGGTCTAATGGAATCTGTTTGTTCTAGTCTCAACCCACCAAAGATGTTGGGAACGTGTTGAGTTACATTCTCTTGGATATTCGACTTTCCCTTGTTTCTGCTCTCCTAGGCATTGCTGTGGCTGTCACAAAAATATAAATTATGTGGCATCCCTACATGTGCTATCCTGCCTTCTGATTTACTGATTATATTATATAGAAATAGCCATGTTTTGCTTGTGGTAGAACGTTGTACGCATTTGCTTATTTTAGTTTTATACAATAAGACATAATCATATTTTATAGGTCTTGTGTATGAGGTACTACAAAGTATGGTGTACTAATGGACAGTTTTTTTTGAATGGCTAAACTCAAAAGTACAGTTATGAACTCACAGATGATTAGGCTGTTTCTTACCTAAGAGAACTCCCAGTATAGCAGGTTATGTAAACAAGTCATAAAAGTATTTGTATAGAATCACTGGGCATCTCTCCATATTTATGCTCTTAGCTATTTACCAAGATCTCCCCAATTTCTACTCTCCTATCATAGTTACTGTAGCCACCAAACTATCTATCCCTTACAGGAGGAGATGGAATGGTGTGTTATTAGAAGAGACACACTGTTACTATATTCATTGTACCGAAAACAAAAAACTCAAGTAGGCCAGTCCCAGACTCCTTTCGCATTCTAGGGCAAACAGCAAATATCCTAAACCTATATTTTATGTTTTATATTTCCATTATTTCTCAAATCCTATATTAAGCCCTCATGTAAATCTCTGGAATTTAACATGTATTTTATCTCAGTTGGCTGATGGGGAAGAGAGCAGTGAAAAGACATTATGCAAATATTTGGCCATAGAAAGTTACCCTATTTGAAGGGTCCCTGCATAATTCAAAGTGGCAGATGTGAAGTTTTCGGTATGATTTTCTGTTTTTAAATTTAAAAATTTTAACTTTTCCATTTAAAATTAAATCCATCAAATTTAATTTCCTAAATATACCACTTTTAAAATAAATACACACAATTTGTTTAAATATAGTGCAGTTTGTTTTAACTATCAAATTAGTAGTGATTTATTATGGCAGCAACAGGAAACTAATACAGATTTTTGCCCCAGGAAATGGGGTTCTGCTGAAACAAATACCAAAAAAATGTGGAAGTGGCCTTGGGTTTGGGTAATGGATAGAGGCTGGAAGAATTTTAAGTCACATGATGGAAAAAGTCTGGATTGCCTTAAGCAGACTGTTGTTAGACATGGATGTTCAAGATGCCTCTGGTGCAGGCTCAGGAAGAAGAGAGGATCAAGAGAGAGAAAGCTGTTTTCTTAGAGGATACTTATATCATCATGAACAGAATTTTAGTAGAAATATTAACATTTAACAGCACTTCTGGTGAGGGCTCAGAAGGAAATGAGTAAACTATTATTGGAAACTGGAGGAAAGTTGTATAGTTATGTAGTGGCAGAAGACTTGACTTGTGTCCTACAGTTGTGTGAAAAGAAAACTAGTAAGTGATGAACTTGGATATTTGGCTGAGGAGATTTCCAAGGAAAATGAACGTGGGGCCTGGTATCTTCCTGCTGCTTACAGTAAAATGTGAGAGAAGAGAGAAATTGAGGAAGGAAATGTTAAAAAGGAAACAAAACTTGATCATTTGGGAAATTCTCAGCCTACCCAAACTGCAAAGAATGCTAAAATTAGGAGATTCACTGTGGGGAGAGCTTGCTCTGGAGAGTTGTGGATGGACAACCTTTAGCTGAAGAGATTGGGTGTGTGACTTAACAGATCTAATCAACCATCTCAGCAGAAGCAACTAGAGATGGAGTTATCCAAGAATGATCTGTGAAGAACCCTCTTGTCTAATCATGTGGATCCCTCTGACAAAGACAGGAGACTCACAAGGTCTTTGTGAAGGTTATATCAGCAGAAATATTGCTAGCTTGGACTGAAGGGGACAGAGACAGGATGAAATGACAGAAGACTGTCAGATTTCCAAAATTCTACAGGCAGAAAATGGACTGATAGAGATACTCGACTGCAAACATGTGCTACCCTTCAAGAAAAAGGAAGAAGGACTGGGCACAGAGGCAGAGGCCTGCAGAGCTATGGACCTTGAGGGTGGAGATGCAACCTATAGGGTCTAGTCGCAAGACATGGGATTACTCCCAGGCCTCGAAAACTAATGGAATTTGCTCTGTTGGATTTTGGACTTGCTTGAGACCAGTGACTTTTTGCGTGCTTATTGGCCATCCGTATAGCCACTTTGGTGAAATGTCTGTTTATATCTTTTGCCCACTTTCTAACTGGATTATGTTATTTTTTGTTTTTGAGGAAGATTTGGCCCTGAGCTAACATCTGTTGCCAATCTTCCTCTTTTTCTTTTTTCAAAGCCCAGTACATAGTTTTATATCCTAGTTATAGGTCCTTCTAGTTCTTCTATGTGGGATGCCACCTCAGCGTGGCTTGATGAGCAGTGAGCAGGTCCACTGGCCGGGATCCAAACCAGTGAACCCCAGGCCACCAAAACAGAATGCACGAACTGAACTGCTAGGCCACCAGGCCGTCCCCTATGTGGGGTTTTTTACTGTTGAAATTTGAGAATTCTTTACATATGTTAGATATTAGTACTTAGATTTGTGATTTGCAAGGGTTTTCCCCTATTGGGTAGCTTGTCTTTTTATCTTTTTAACAAGGTCTTTCACAGAACAAAAGATTTCATTTTGCTGAGGTCCAACTTACCAAATTTCTCTCTTATGAATCATCCTTTTTGTGTCCACTCTAAGATCTCTTTGCCTGGCTCTAAACCCCCCAAGTTTTTTCCTTCATTTTTTTTCTGTTTTATGTTTTACGTTTATGTCTGTGATCCATGTTGAGTTAGTTTGTGTTATATGATTGTGATCATATATGATATGACTGAGATAATGTGTTATTTGAGTTATAATGTATAAGACTTAGAGGATTTTTTGTTTAATTTTGGTGTTTTGTTTTGTTTTGCCTATGAATGTCCAATTGCTCTAGCACCATTTGTTAAAAAAGCTGTCTTTCCTCCATTGAATTTCTCTTGCATCTTTGTCAAAAATCAGTTGGGCATGTTTTTTGTTGTGAAGCTAGTTCTGAGTTCTCTGTTTTGTTCCATTGATCTATGGGGTCAGTCTCTGCCAATACCACACAATCTTTATTATTGTATCTATATAATAAGTCTTGAAATTGCGTAGAGTGATTCCTCCCACTTTATTCTTCTTTATCAAAATCACTTTACCTATTCCAGTTCCTATATCTTTCCATATAAATTTTAGGATAATCTGGTCTATATCTACTATGGTAGACAAAGTAATGGCCCCACAAATATATCCACAACCTAATCCCTGGAATCTGAATCTCCATTTAACATGGCAAGGGCAATTAAGATTGCAGATAGAATCAAGGTTGCTAACTATCTATCCTTAAAATAAATTATTCTGGATTATTCAGGTGGACATGAATCAAAGGTCTTAAAAAATGGAAGAGGAAGGGAGGAGGAAGTGGTGGAGGTAGGTAGAGGTGAAGAAGGAGGGAAGTGGAGGTACAAAAAAAGCAGAGAAGTGGAGGTGGAGGAGGTCGAGATG